GGGATTGTGTGTGGGGGCAGGCTGGCGTGAGATTGAGGTACGGAGCTCTCCTCACTGCTGGGCAGGCTGGACAGGCGTCTATGTCCCCTCCCATGCCTGCTGGGAGCAGCTGGTATCGGTGCGGACACAGAGCCCATGAAAAAAGCTCTGTGTCCGCACTAATTGAATCAACTAAATCGATACTTAATGATTATCATCAATTAAATCGATTGTTGCAGCCCTAAAAACAACCTTGTCCCTATGAAGAACCAGAGTGCTTTACAAGACAAAGCAGACAACTCCAAAATCCTTTTAGACGAGGTAATGGCCACAAGAAAAGCAACCTTTTTGGATAACAAGATAAAGAAAGGTCTTGTATAGGTTCAAAATTAGGTTTTGTAAAGCAGATAAAACAAAGTTCAAAGCCCATGAGGAAAAGGAGACCTAACAGGAGGAGCTAGACGAGTAACTGCCTGAACAAAAGTATGAAGAAAGGAATTAGAAGCAAGAGTACATTGAAAAAAGGACCGACAAGGCAGATGTCTGACCCTTTATGGTACTAAACATTGATCTACCTCAAGTTGAAGGAAAGACAAAATTTGCAATATAGCAGAGCACATGTGGAAAATCCCAAAGACTCACGCCAACGAAGATCAACCTTACCGTATGATTAAAAAAAATCTAACGAGTAGAAGATCTACGAGCTTTAAGCATAGTATAGTCGGAGTAACAGAATTTGAAATTACTTTCTCTTTCAACACTTAGGTTACAACAGCCAGGCTGTTAAAGCCAGCGACCAAGAAGCAGGGCGGAAGATTTGGCTCGGAGATAACAGATCTGGACAATCTGGAATAAGAAAGGGATTGTCTGCCAATAGATGAACCAAATAGGCATATTACACCTTGCAAGGCCAAATTGGAGTCACGAGAATGACTGGAATTGCTTTGTGTACAATCCTGTAAAGCGGTCAAGGTAACAGCGTTGGTGAAGGAAAAAAAAACAACATACATTAGCGTGTACTGTTCCCATAGAGCTCCCAAGGCATTTACTGCATCCGCTGTTGGATCCCTTACTCTGTACACAAATTTGTCCAATTTCTTATTGTGATGAGAAGCCAAAAGGTCCACATCCGGCGTTCCCCAGTGGTGACAAAGTTGTCACTTCTGAATAGAGAGACCGTTTGTCTGGATCCACATGTTATTTGTTGAGAAAACCCACCTGCCAGTTTCTGACTTCTGGAACGTGCACCTCTGAAATTGTTGGAACCTGGAGGTTCTGCCCAATCCAAGATCGAATGTACTTCCACCACCATTGATACACTCCTGATGCCTACCTGGAGATTGATGTATGCTATTGCTGTAGCATTGTCTGACAGAATCTAAATCGGACACCAGGACAGAACATGGGTTTAGTGAAACAATAGACAAATCACCCTTAAGTCCAGGACATAAATCTGAAGCTCAGATTCCTCCAGAGATGAAAAACCCTGCACAGAAACGTGAACCAAGAGAGACAGTCCCATCCCACAAGACTGGCAATCGTGGCGACAATCTTCCAAGTCTTGGAAAGAAAATTACTTTCCGATTGTCGACACAGGAGATGTCAAACACAACGACAGAGACATCTTGGCCGGGGCACTCAACCTGATCATCTTGTCCAGCAACAGAGAAGACTTGTCCCACACTTGTTCCTCTGTAAAGTCCTGCAATGGAGCTGAGCAAAAAGTACGACTTCAAAAGGTTGACTCCATCAATCCTACTATTCGATTGTAGGTTCTCAGAGAGGAACAGTGAGGAGTTCTGAGGAGAGGAACACTTTGGCTTGAAGGGTATCCAACAAAAGACCCAAAAACTCCAAGTGATGTGATGGAACTAAGGACGACTTCTCAATGTTCAGAATCCATCCAAAGTCCTCAAAATGTCTGCAGCACTGTCTAGGCTTTGAGCTCCAAAGTAGGAGGTTGACTGTTCTTAAAGTAAAAGTTGTCTAAGTTTCTGATAATCGGAATGCACTTCCAAAGACAAAATCCCAGGACTGGAACAAGAATTTTTGTAAAAACCCTTGGAGATGAAGCCAACCGAAAAGGGAAGAGCCACACACCGATAATGACTGTTGCTATTGCAAAATGAAGGAAACGCTGATGATCCAACAAACCTTGAGCTGCAATTTGTCGGAGGCTGCCAAGACCCGCAAAGCTGGAACGCAAAGAACAAGGAGGAGGAGAAGGAGGAAGACGAAAAAAATATTCTGAAATTTCAGTTTCCCATCTCTTCGCACATTCCATCAGGCGTCCCCCAACCAGATGTAGAAAACACGGGAGCAGACCTTCATGTTGAGTGGACTTTTTAATTGCTAAAGACGTCTAGAGGGTGTAAAGGTCTGGAGATGTGAGACGTCTTCTGAAAACTGGAGACTAAAGAAACGTATAAAAGATGAAAAATAGGAAGCAGGCTTACAACGCAGATCCCTATTTTTTACTTATCTGCGGTAAGTGCTCACTTTTACCTCCCATAGCTATCTTAATAATTTAATACAAGATTGCTTCAAAAAGATGTAAATGCAAAAAAATCCCTTTTTGCACTGGAGTGCCGCCAACCCACACTTAAACCAGGTAGCTCTGCGTATCAGATTGGAAAAGACAGACACATGAAAAAGCAGACGACAAGCATCAAAAAATGCATCATATGAAATGAGATGCAACAGTCATCTGATCCACAATCAATAAAATGTGGATCGACTCCCATCAGTCGCCTGTTCCATGCTTAAAGATATTGTCTAAATAGCCAAAATCTGGCAAATAAGGAATGTAGCCAATAATTGTCAAAGAGCTAAACTAGCTTTCTTTTTTTAAATAAAACATCTGTAAAAAGGAAAAGATGCGGGGACTTCAAGCGTCTAGCAGCCAGAAATTTCTGACAATCACACATTAGGTGTATTGTATTTATGAGCTGAGTGAATTTGTCACAGCCCAGTTACTGCATGACATGGCATAGTGTTTCTGACAATCACACATTAGGTGTATTGTATTTATGAGCTGAGTGAATTGGTAACAGCCCAGTTACTGCATCAATGACATGGCATAGTGTTTCTGACAATCACACATTAGGTGTATTGTATTTATGAGCTGAGTGAATCTGTAACAGCCCAGTTACTGCATCAATGACATGGCATAGTGTTTATGACGATCATACATTAGATGTGTTGTATTCATAAAATTAATCTATGTGCTATGTTCCTTAACCACTTGCCGTCCATGGCCGTTCCTGAACAGTCGGACGGCAGCCTTATAGGAGCGGGAGGGCGTCTTAAGACGTCCTGCCCCTCCCCCCTGCTTGTGTGCGTCGCTCAGTGTGCACACTAATGGGGGAAACTGTTAGGAATGTAAAACAGCCAGAGATGGCTGTTTACATTCAAGCAATCAGGAATCTAGAGATGCAGGATCGCTTGTAGTAGCTGCGGGTGTGCGCCCCCCCGTACCGCCTTCGTCTCAGTCACTGCCGGTCCCGAGATCCGCTGTGCCCGGTGCGGCTGGGACCGGCATAGTGACTCTGTTACAGGAGATCAAAGGGAGGTCCGTACACAATGTCCTCTCCTGTCCCCGAATGCAGGAAGTGATGTGTATTACATCACGTCCGCATTCAGTGTCACTCTCTGGCAAGAGATGCCGGTGAGCAGCTGCTGAAGCAAATCTCTGCTACTTCAGCTTCTCTAGGGGTCCGTAGATTAGGGGTCTTGGAGAGGTAAATTGGCTATCACATAGGGGATTTCTTAGCCCCCTATGTGATGGCAATAAGGTTAAGTGTTAAAAAAAAAAATTAAAGCATAAAAAAAATAAAGAACCTTAAAAAAAAGTAGTGACAAATAAAAATAATGTAAAATAACACAAACATTTTTTTAATGCTCCCAGGATTTAACATTATCTGGTATGAATCTCTTTCATGTCGGCTAGCTAGTGAGAACTCCCAGGATTTAATATTAGCTAGTATGAACCATCTAGCAGCACCCAGTAGTAGAATCTCTTCGAAGGAATAAAACAAACTAAATTAATAAAAGCAGAAGAGAAGGCGACATACATTCTCCTGAGGACACTAAGCAAAACTGGCAGGTGTGAGGTGGGAGGTGTTATGTCCTTAAATATCTCTGCATGCTCTTTATCCCCGATGTCTCCTGGGGGAGAGTGGGGGGTGTCCCCTGAATATGTGGACTTTTTCACCACCAAAATCCTGGAAAAGGGTATCTATCTCTTGATTATGTCTTGATTTTGTGTTGTAAATGTATATTTGTATTATTCATTCTGTAAGATGCTAAATATTACAGGCTGCCTCCCTTCTTCCTGAGGAAGCTTTGGCGAAACGCGTAGAAGGCTGGACCCACTGCATATTGATGTATGATTCAAGGATGTTAATTGCAATTCTAATATATGAACGGCATACGCCTATGAAGAGATTGATAATGGAAAGTTCTATTAAATTATTTGCACATAGAATGTGATTGCATGGTCCAGGGAGGCTTTTTGCCCAATTAATTTTGTGTTCAGGGAGTTATGCTGATATACACCACAGCATTACTGGTACTGTTTTAATATTTTTTTTATTATATATCTTATCAATAAATACATTTTAATAAAGATGTGCATTTGTTTGTTTGTAATGTAATGTGACACCTTCAAAGCCCCATTTTGAGGATTGTTGTTGTATATGCAAATATTGGGGTGTGGTGTCCTGTTTTCATTTGGTGGCTCAGAATACATACATTTTTTGGTAATCTGTTATAGAGATATGGCGTTGGCAATGTACATTAAAGTGCTACCGTGCTTACCTGCTTATACCTAGAGCAGTTGTTAGTTGCTCCAAGCCAGACTTGCTCTTCCATAGCTGTGGAGAGAAAGAAGCCATCTCAGTACCTACCCCAAGCACTTTAAATTAGAACTATGTCCTCTCATAAAAACAAAATGTGCTGCAATACATAATTATAACTGCACCTACAGTTTCAGTTTTCTCTCAGTCCCCCTGCAAGGTCTCACAAATACCTGTTGATCCTGCCAGTGAAGTCAACCCAGTGCAGCTTCATGTGATTGTGTGGTAACAATGCTACAGTGCTCTTGAATTCAAAGCAGAGTTACCATTCTCTTATAGACTGTCTGCTTGCAGTACAAGTGGGATGAGAAGAGGTTGCAGAGGGCATGGCTATCAATATTGTCACTGCTTATTCCTAAGCCTGTAGCTTGTTAACCAGTACCTGACCACACCTAGTCTTGACCGCTACTTTATGAAATGACAGAACTGTCTGTTTCTGTAACCCTCCCACTGTGAGCTGCAGTGTCTGAGAGATGGGAGCATGTGAGATGCAAATGAAGAGGAAAGGTAAAGGAAGTTTGTTATCACTTTGTGCATTACTAAGCAACTGGATTTAGTAGTCGTTAAGACTGTCATACAGGAGTGTTAACTCTTAATGTATTGGTGCACACAACTGTCATCACAACTCGACTCTGGGCTGCAAATCCTTTCAAATGACTCCATCAAGTCAAGAAAGATATAGACCAGCAACATCAGACTGAAGTTGTTTCTATCATGCCATGTGTAGGAACATACTTTGCAAATTAAATATATCTTTTCTCTCTTTAATATACCGTCATCTGCAAAGGTAGAGAGTGCAATGGGATAACTGCTTGCAGTTCAGGACTAGTCTTATCACTATGCATTATTCAATGCCAATTACAAGATACTGTTAGCTATAGTTCAAAAATTAGCATCACAGTTAGCACGTTACATACAGCAAAGTTAACATTATGCAGAGTCTTTTAGAATACTCACGCTGTATATGTTGCCCTTACCATCAAACATTTTGCCCACCATTGCTACAAACCACTTTAATAGAAACTCACCGCTGAACTGAACTTGGTGCGAATAAGCCCAGGTGCAAGGCAGTTCACTCGGATGTTGAGAGGTGACAACTCTGGTGCAAGAGCTTTGGAAAGGCCAAGCAGTGCAGTCTTACTGACGCTGTAAGGGCCCAGGGCCTACGAGGACAGTAACCGAAACATTAGAAAAGGACAGCAACGCCAGAAAGAGAGTGCAAGTTATAATGATTTACTTACAGGAAATGGTGTAAATCCAGCAACAGATGAAACAATCACAATACTGCCACCTCTGTCAAAAGATAAAGAGAATCCTGTAGCTTCAGTGTATTAAACGCATGTAAATCTAGACAGCTGAACAGATAGAACTCCTTTAAATTTAGTAAGTGTTACTGTGTAAGAGGTATACTGGGTACCTCTTATATCCAGGACTTTTCCTCCCACTGCGTCTGCTCTGCATATTGAGATCACTAGAACTGATAGCTGGGTCCCTGTCTATGTCCCCCCCTCATGTTTGTGCCCAGGGCAGCTGCACTGTCTTGCCACCCACCCCCGCCCAGTTGTTATGCCGCTGACTCCACTCACTGTGCACACACATGGGTACACATGCAACACAATGCGCACACGTTACACATGCAACACATTATACGCACACAGCACACATACAACATACATTATGCACACTTTGCACATACAACACATAATACACACACAGCACACATACAACACACTACTTACACTTGTTTTACATCTCTATTCAGCCCGTCCACAATCCACTATGAACAGCCCGGGGAAGAGGAGGCTGAGACATGGGGGAGGCCGCAGGGGTCCCAAACGAGAACAGTCCCCGCTCCCAGAACTCCGGGTGATGCCGGAATGGCCCTATTCATCCCTGGGAGGAAGAGATCATCCAGGGGAGGGACTCCAGGTGACGCCGGAATGGGCCTAATCATCTGGGAGAGGATGAGATCATCCAGAGGAGAAGGGAAGGAGGAGGCCGCGGGTCCTCGGGCAGTGCCCAAACAGTCAGTCAGCATGTGAGTGAGGCGGGGAGGGTTGGTGCAAGCAACCCAACTAAATCGATAATGAAAATAGCTGACAACGATTTTCATTATCGATTATGATCGACTATCGATTAGTTGTCTCAGCCCTACTCCTCACAATGCAAGTCTGAGTCAGCCAACTCTGATATCAACAGCTGTTAAGCGGAGACTGGACAAGTCAAATACAGTGCTCCCTGTAGTGGTAAATTTACAAAGCTTTATATTTAATACAATAAAAATATGGAAGAGCAGGAATTTAAAATATCAAAGTCACGTAAAAAGTATAAGATATATATTGCAATAGTACCTTAAATTGTGCTCACTAAAAATACACTATAAATTTTCTTTAGAAAGTAGAACAATACATTGGTCACCTTCTTATTATTAGAGGACAATTTCCTCTTGCATTGACAATCTAGAAAATAGGAATTTGTACTCACCGTAAAATCCCTTTCTTTGAGACAATTGAGGGACATAGTAAGTCCTTAACTTTAGGGTTCACTGCTGCCGACATGAGAATTGGGACACTGCCAAACAAAAAAACTGTAGGGCGACCCAGGATAACCCCTTCCTCTACCGGCATGCCCTAGTTTTCTAGCAAAGCAGTATCGGGAGCTTGATCATAATTGCAGAGTGGGACCTGTGTCCTTTAATGGACTCCAAGAAAAGGATTTAAAATATGTACAACAAATCTTATTTCCGTTTTGTCCATTGAGGGACACAAAGTCTTTAACCTTCGGAATGTCCAAAAGCAGTCCAACTGAGGGATGGGCAACACTGTATACAAAAGCTAACAGCCCAAGAAAACAAAAACATAAAAATAGGACCTTACACCAAAACCGGCATCGAAAAAGTCACAACATTCACCTGGTAGAATTTAGAGAATGTGAGAAAAGACCAGGTAGGAGCTCTGCAACCAATTTTGGAGTTGGCAGCAGGTATGGAACGAAGATCCAATTTCCTCATGGACCTTTGCAAGCAGGAGCAGCAGCAGTCAAGGATGTTTCCTTGACGATAAATGGCTGAGCGTGCTCAACACTTAAACCAGAGCATGATGTCAGTGCTCAGTCCTACAGAGTTAACTCCTTACACAGCAAAATAGCTGTTAAATGAAGAATAACGGAGCCCAGTAGCTGAAATAGCTGCTGGTATTCAGCCCGGCTGGCATACTCATATGTGAATCCTCAGAGTCAGGGCAAGTGCTGAGCCAATGCCAATGGCTCTGGTCCTGAAAAGTGCTCTGCCGAGAACTTTTACCAGAACGGAGTTTGAAAAGCACCCTACATGAAACCAAGAGCCCAAAGGTCACTTCCAGGCTATCCCTATAACGTCCAGTTCAGTGGGGTATGGGTTCAGTACTCCAAGAGCAAGGCTGGGGACAACCATGCTGGAGAGTTGCAATCAAAGAGACAAAGCTCCAGCAGTGATGTAGAGAAGAGTCTTGACTGAAGAAAGAAATGAAGAAAAAAGGTGCCCACAAAGAAAAAGAAAAAAAAAAAAAAGACATCAATCCTACCAGGACACTAGCTAAAACCTGAGGAATGCTTATAGTGGGAGGGAAGATAATGAGTTGGCCTGTAGTTTCTTTCTAGTTTGTCTGTCACTGTCCAATCCTCCTGTATGCAACAGTATAACCCAAAGGTGAAAGACTTACCGTGTCCCTCAAAATACGAGAAATAAATACCCTTTGGACAATTTAAAGCAGTTCGTCTGCTGTATTTCTGCTCTAGGACAGAGTTTGCTTTGCAAAGCTATATCATTTAAAAGGTTTCCAGGTATTTTGTAAAAAAGAGTGGGAAACCACTTTAATGCCCATCATAAGTATTTGCTGCTAGGAGAAAAATAAGTCTCACCCTCTTTCCTGCATTTTGGGCACCACAAGTTTCACCAGAAGGAATGCGGCTTTAACATTTATATCCAGAATCTGAGAAGAAAATGAATGTGAATTGTGTAACATAAGAAGTATAACATTTATCATTTTAAAATTAAAGCAAATTATGCCTTTTTCAAATTTATGTTGCTGTCTTTTTGTTAAATATACTTTCTTCCTTCTGTAAAATATAGCTGGAGGTATTCCGCATTGCGCTGTATAATGTATTGCTGGGTTTTGTAGTCCTCTATAGCCGGTGCCGTTCTGCATTCATTGCTGTATAATTTTACACTTTTTATTTGACTATATTGCACACCACACTTCTTTACTTCCACCGCCCCAAGCTTGCTCCTGTGATGGACTACAATCTCAATACAAACTAGTAGTCCCATCACTGGAGCCATTTTTAAAATGTATTTTATTTTTTAATTTTTTATCCGATTAACCGATTAATCGAACCTAATAATCGGCTAACTAATCGATTTTGAAAATAATCGTTAGCTGCAGCTCTACCTGCATTGCTATCACACTTTAAGACATGATTTGGGTCCAAGGTCCCAGTTGCTCTCAATCCCTTTTCCAGCTTCTGATTACATTTATTGACACGGAACCAGTGGTACATACATATGTATCTGTGCAGAGAAAGTGCAACCTCTGGTTAAGATACAGAAATTTTAAAAGGAGGAGCCAGGAGATAGTTGAGGGTGGTAATTTACTTCCCTTTTATGTGTAATTTAATTTAAAACACAGATATTAAATGCTGCTCTAGTGGATTTCTCTAAAACAATAGACTATCGATGCTTATTCAGTGAAGCACTGCAAAGACTTGCACCCATAGCAGCCAATCATTTTCTACTGGTCTGACCATAGCAAAGTGAATTGTGACTGGTGCCAATTGATTATTGCACTTACAGATTTGCTTCCTGTATTTTTTATTGAATAAGTATGTACATGTAAAAATATACAAGGTGTGTTATAAAATTATGTGTGGGTTTAGTTATAGTCTTACCTTATCCCAAACCTCATCAGTAGAGTCCAAGATATTTCCAAAAAAGGGGTTAACTGCAGCATTAGAAACAAGAATATCAACACCTCCAAACTTTTGGACTGCCTAGAAAATAAAATATGTCATCAACAAAGAGCTTCTTTCAGGAAGTACAGCTTTTCAGAAGCATGTAGAAAGTGCAGCAGAAGAGAAAAACATTGATTGAGAGGCTGTGAAAGAATAAGGCTGGGTTCACACCTGGGCAGTTTTCAGCGCTGATCGAAGCGCTAAAAAACGCTCAGCAAGTGGAATCCCATAATTTCCTATGGGCATGGTTCACACCTAGGCGTATTTCAGTGTGTTGAAACGCGCTGAAAAACGCCCTATGCCCAAACAAGTACAGGAGCTTCTTCGCGTATCCATTGGGATACAGCCGGATAGCTCTCGTAAACGCGGATTTGACGCGCGTTTCGCGGACCGCAAATTGCGGTAAAAACATGACATTTTATGCTTTCAAATTGTTATGTATTAAATGCGTATTTGTAAAGCAAATATAGGGCTTGTTTCCACCAGCCCGTGTGCTTACCGCAATGTGCCAGGAATGCACGGGATCGCATACATAAAGTCTCCTTTGTGTCCTGGAACGGAAGGGGGTGTGGCAGTGTCATTCAAGTCAATGGCACTGCAAACAAGCCCCCCGTCTGCAGTGCGATCAGCCGCACATGAACGCGTGGTAATAAAATGCCCTGCATTCCAGTGCGGTGCGATCGCAAAAAATCGTGCATTCACTTGCGTTCCGTGCAGAGGACATTACGGTAGACGCGCGGGCTGGTGGAAACAAGCCCATAAAACAGAAGGTAATTCCCAGGGAACTATGTGTTATCTAAAAGACTGCACAGCAGATGCTGCCTTCTGGGAGGCTCGGTTTGTCTGACTGAAGCAACAAAATAAGTGATCCAATAAGGGATGAGCAAAACAAAACAAATGGCAAACGCACTCATCAATTTTGTCAATAAGGGATGAGTCACTGCTGATCAGTTATCAACTTTGATTTGTAAATTTAAGCTTGAGCTATTGACAATTGTAAACAAAAGGCTTTCTCAATATAATATAAAGAGAAAGCTAAAAACATTTGAATAGGGATGTTCATATACGAAGCACCGTATTTGGTACAAGTACAAATACCTTTCCAGCTCCAAGACTAGACTAGAGAAAAACTCAAAAGTTAGGAGGCAGCTGTCATTTGTAAGGAGCATTGGCTACGGGTCTCCCGAGATTTGTGCATCCCTATTTTAAATGTATGATTTGTTATATATTTATTAGGGATGCACCGATACCATTTTTTCAAGAACTAGTACTGATACTTGTCCAAGTACTCACAGACACAAGTACTGATACATTTTTGTTTATTGTCATGTGACAGTTTTTCTTAAACAATACAGACTAATGATTTCAGGACAGTGGTGGAGCGCCAGAGCTAGGTCCCAGCTGCAACCACTACACCCCTGGTAGTTCTCGTAAAAATACCAAGTATCGGCACCGGTATCTGAATATCCCTAATTTTAAACATGATAAAGAAAAAATATATATATATATTAAAATTATACAGTCCTGTCCATAATAAATAAAAAAATATGCATAAAACCATTATAGATTCTCTTTAACAAGTAGGATTATTTTATTCACAGAGTGATTCTTGCCGTTCTGGCTTCTGATTTATGTTTTTACTGCTGTAACAGAAGATATAAATGATGTTCTTTGCAATTCAATAATTCTCCTTTTTTATCCGAATTGCTTTAAATTTATATGTGGCTAATAATGACAATATTGTTACCTTATTATCCTTTAATAACAATATATTATCCTTACATTTTTACTAATCTTTTTCTTCTACTACATTATCCTTACCTAGTCTCCTCTGCTGCCCAATATTGCCTTTTGACCATTTCCTGCTTATTGTGCCATCAGGACAGTTACATACAAAATGACCTGGTTTGTTTTCTTGTAACCTATAAATAGTCCAATCTTCTGCATGTACACCTTTGGATCAGTCCCTGGACCGTGCTGCACACAGCGGTTACCTTGCGGCCCCTTTGATTTCAATGGGGTTACATCCGCGAGGCAATAGCAGAAAAAAAACATACATGTGCCTTTTTTATGCAAAACACGATGCAGGGCGGAATCGCCGCGGGAAACCGCATGATCCGCCAGGCGCGACTGGGGTTCCATTAGAAAATAATGGCACCACCAGCACGATCGGCGGTGGTGGGGGACTCCGTGACCGCATGGCAATCCGCGCGGTACTGTGCACAATTGCCGCACGGTCACGGACCGCGCAGGTGTGAACCTGGCCCCACTCTCTATAATTGTGCCCTACTGCAATGCTAATTCTTACTATTTACACCATTCAACTACTCACAACAGATTACAGTATACTGTTCACGGAAACATCTGATTTTGTTAAGATTTAGAAGTCATCTGTCAAAAGAACTGTTGAGTGCAGCTAATGAAAATATGAAACTCTTACCATGTTCACTAGTTTTTCTCGGTCCTCACTCCGGCCCACATGACAGACTGTCCCTTCAACATCTAGTCCTTGTTCTTTAAGTTCTTTAACGGCATTATCTACATTTTGTTGCTTTCGGCTGCTGATCAGAACTTGTGCTCCATCCCGAGCAAGCTGCCGAGCAATAGCCAAACCGATCCTTAATTGGGGAAGGAGGAGGCACTTCATGTCAAGGTTCATTTGAATAAAAAGACAAATTCCACTTCAACACAAGCATGGTGTCCTTAGAATTGATTTGTCAGGGATACAAATGTATTAATTAACCAATGCATTTAGGATTTCCCATCTATGCCCTCCTATTTGTAACTGAATACTGACCAGATCTGCACATGCTGCGAACACATACGAAGATTAGATTAAGAAGACACCTTTAGTCATACGATTTATTAACCCTTTTACTTTCAGGGGTTGCTTCCCATTTTGTATGTCAGATGGTCAAACCATTGTTGCAATATTTCTTCTTCATGTTTAAAACTTTATACAAAATTGGGAAAAGGCTCCCCAAACCATTTCTTTTATGAAAGGACAAGGCCTATAGGGGTGAAAAAAAGGTACCTATGTTTTTAAATGTCCCCTGATAGTTGCACAATCAGAACTACAGTTTCAAAACAAAAGCACACAAAAACATAATCAGGGAAATTCCACCAAAGAAATATAAAAGATAAAACGAAATAGCAAATATGTGTGTATTAAAGCGGTGTGTTTTTGTGAAACAGTAAAAATCAATGGCATGCAACAATGTAAAAAAGCCAAAGACTTTTACTAGTCCAGTGTTACACTACTTTAGTATTATGCTAGCGTGATGTCCCTTACACTTCTATCATGCATGGGGATATTTTCTTCTTCAGGTCCCTCCGCTGCTGATTGACAGCAGGCAGTGGGCAGGTGCAATAGCCAGCCTGCTATTGGCCACTGCAATTTAAAATAGCCAATAGAAGGCTCACTATTGCTCCCAGCCTGTGCCTGCTGGGTTTACATTCAGCTGCCTCAGAAGGCAGCTGTCATTCCCCAGCTAAAGCCCATTGAAGTGGAAAGGTGACACAAGGGGTCCAATAGACCCATAGGGGTTGATTTACTAACCTTATAAACACACCACGAACATGTATACACCTCTGTAGTGTGTTCCCTCCCAGCATGATCTATGGGTGGAATCTAAACACCTTTGTAGTGTGTACACACCCAGCAGGTGTGCTGTGCAAAGCCAAGCATGAATTACAAGGTGATGTTGTATAAATTAGCTCTATGTTGTGTTGCTTGCGTTGATGAATGCAGGAATGTAAATGCATGAGCTAACCATTTTTGTCTAAACTGTGAAGCAGCATTATATATGCATCATGTGCATGATTTTTCCATATATGGCATTAGTGGAAATATGCTTTTAGAGACTTTTTGGTTGATAAGTGTGTGTTTAGGTTAGTAAATCACCCCCATGTCACATTAAAGACAACCTGTTCACCTCCAATGAGTAAAAAAAAATTAAATTAAAAATACCTAAAAAATAAAGTCCCCTAGGAAACGCCCTCGCAAAAAAAAAACCTAGCTCCTAACTTTTTTAGTTGGCTCCTGGATTAAAAGAAAAATTGTCAAGCCCTGCATTATATATTTGGTTTCAAATAACAACACTCCCAGAAAAAAAAAGAGTGCTATTTTGAATCAGATTAGACCGTTGTAAACCGAGGGCCACCTGTACTGTATACAGTTGATAAATATCTGCATACTGTAGATAAAGATCCCTTATTTCTTCCTCTCCTTGCACTGCACTGACACTGAACCCCAGCAGAGCACATGTGGGCTTATCCACAGCCAAAAAAGAGATCAGTGAACAGCAATACAGGGAGGATAAGGGAGCTGAGAGGGAGGCAGCCACAGAGAATATTCCTATTTAGACTTGGGAGGAGGAATTGGGTGGCTGTGCAGCTGCCCATCTCTTCTACAGCCAGGACAGAGGCCATACAATAAAAGAAAAAAGAGCTATTGCAACCATAAGCTTGTTTTAACCTTTTGATTCCCCTGACGTAAAACATACTTTAGATTGTAAGCTCTCACCTAACATCTTGTCTTGATTTGTATTGTAACTGCAATGTCTTCCTTATATTGTAAAGTGCTGTGTAAACGGTTGACTCTATATAAATCCTGTATATTATGATAATAATAATAATAATAATAATAATATGGCCAGCATTACAGAGATTGTAATCCTTCTGTACTCTATATAAGAAAAAATGTTTGGGCTGGAGCTGAGATTTAGGAGTTATACTATATAGGTTTAAGTGACAGACGGGGAGCAAATAACAACAGATACACATGAGAACAATAATCAAAAAGGGAAATCAGCGATAAAGAAAGGGTCACACACAGGATCTGAATTACCCATCTGTTGATGCTGTTACTAGTGCCACTTTGCCTTGAAGTCTTGGAGGAGTCTGCACCCCTCTTACACTCTGCATTATGCAGGATTCTCCACCACGGGCCGGTACGGACAGCAAACGTTGCAAGGACAGGCGAAGCATTGAGCAGGAAAGTGGACTCTGCACCTGACACATTTACACAAAAGAAAAGAAGGGAATGATGGGATTAAAGTTCAAAGCACACATGTATATGCATACAAGTATGTTCAGTTTTGGGTCTGCATTGCTCACTACAGCTTACTAGTTCTTGATGATGTATTCTCTCATTAAAAATACATTGATTTCTGGCCATGGACTACAAGAAGGAATATTAAAAGAACAAACAACCTTTTTATATACACTTTACTATTAATGTTACATAGGAAAGATTTGCTACCTGCTGTGTAGTGCTGTAAACGAGTTTTGTGTTAATGCTTATTCCGACAATGTAAGGCTGGGCACACACCTTACAACCATCGCAAAACTTTTGTCTTGCGATGGTTGTAAGGTACTTAAAAAAACGTACGATCTGCCTATCTTGCATAGGCAGATCGTACTTGCGATGATCGCAAGCCACGCCCCCTGAGGGGCGGGCTTCCGATGACCACAATGCCGAACGGGCAATGTGCGCTTGCGCACACCGGTCCGTACGGCTGTTATCGTACGGACATGCCACAAACCCGCCGAACATCGTACGATGCTCGGGGGGGGTTCGAACATGGCCGAAAGTTTAAATTTGGGCGGCCTTACAGTAGTAGAGGTTGCACGGCTTTCACACACCTTGCGATAATCGTACGCTCGCGGGATTTCCCGCGATTATCGTACGGTGTGTGGGTACCTTAAGCCTAATGCATTCTCTGTGTGGTTGATACCTTATTTCCACAACTGACACAGATATTCACAGCAAAGCTGGCGATACACCAGTTTAATTTCATTCACAAAATCTCATTCATTTTTGGAGCCTTTGTTCAATTTACTTTGATTTCCACCGTAGTGATAACAAAAAACATTAAAAAGAGCAGGATGGAAAATTTTTGTCCAGTGAATTAAATTTTAAGACAGAGTGTCATTTTCGTTCAAGAAACTTCATTCATTCCACAAACAAATGTTACAATCAAACATTAGTCAAGTCTCTGATAGCATTATCATATGTTCTGACAAGATTTTTCATAGGAACATTTGCACAAAAATCCAATGGACAACAATCCAAGGCCAGCAGACAGAGCGATCGTCACTGGGGTTGGTTAACTCCGCAGTTAACCCTTTACATACACAAACAATAGCTGCCACCGCGTATTTTAACGGGAACACGCAACATTCCCAGCAAATGCTGTGACAATTCCAACCTCAAGCAATGCCTGTGATGCTCGCTGTCCCACCAGGCAGGAGTATAACAAGTTTTATAATATGGTAGATCTCTCCACAGAGACATGGATTCTTCAAATTCTTAGTTAGATCATTGAGATAAGCATACCAATTTTAAAGAACTGGTTTTGATAAAGTAAAAAGTGCAGAAAAATATACAGAAAAAAGATGTGACATAAAAAGAGATAAAAATTATAAAAGTAGCTTTTTATACATACAAGACTTGACATACCTGTGGTGTATGGCTCCCTCAGAAGGTTTAATGCATCTCTTTGGCCCTCTGTACCTCCTAAGCCAGGGGTGCTTGGTATGTATGCGATCAGTGTTTCATGATACATCCATCTAAATATGTGTGTTATTAAAGAAGAGCTTCAGGGAAAATATTATTAACCCTTGCAGTGGGGCTACCCCCGCACTGCAAGGGTTACCTGCTCGTTTTCAACTAGAGACTAAAATAAAAAAATTATTATCACCGCGCTCTCTCCACCCTCTTCTCCTACACTGCATCGATGGTACGTTCCTGAGAATCCTTACGTCCAATACACAATGTATTGGACGTGATGACTCAAGGATTCTTTGCGCTGGAAGGAGCAGTCTAACAGCAATCTGGCTCATAGAATCAGGTGAGTATAACTTTGTTATTTTCCTCCCTAGACCAAACCAGCAGTTAATCTTTCCAGTTGTGTGTTCTCCAAATATGGAGAACACACAACTAATCAGAGATCAGCTCCAGGGGAAAAAAGTATTCAAGAGATATCAAAATACACATTTTGCACAGATATGCGCATTTCAGTGTGTTTTTCAGTGCGGTTTCTGTTCATAAGTAAGAGCTTACATTGTCCAATGTAAAGCAGTCTCAGCTGCAAAAACTCACTAAAACAAGCGCAACAAATCGTTGATCGGTGCGTTTCCATTGAAGTCTATGCAGCAAAATGAGCTGATAAGCCCCACAAAAGAAGCTCAAGGACTATTTTATGATTGCAAACTAAAATTCTAATTTTGGTAGCTCCCCTACCATATAGTAAGCATCTAATGCTGAATTAGTCTAAAGGGAGTGTAATAAGGCCGTGTATACGCGCGTACGTATTGTACCATATGCAACATATGCAAATAAATGGCTCCATACACACAGCCGCGTATGGAGCCGTATATTTGCGCCCCATATATATGCGCAAAAACAGAATGGAACAGAGATGCGTCCGGGCAGCGTATCTCTGCGTAGCAACATTAGTTGGGGTGATAGTTGGTGACAGATTAATAAGTAACATTAGTTGGTGTGATAGTTGGTGACGGATTAATAAGTAACATTAGTTGGGATGATAGTTGGTGGCAGATTATAGAGTAACATTAGTTGGGATGATAGTTGGTGGCAGATTATAGAGTAACATTAGTTGGGATGATAGTTGGTGGCAGATTATAGAGTAACATTAGTTGGGGTGATAGTTGGTGGCAGATTAATAAGTAACATTAGTTGGTGTGATAGTTGGTGACGGATTAATAAGTAACATTAGTTGGGATGATAGTTGGTGACACATGTTGGTGACATATGGCGGCATTAGATTGTAATAGTTGGTGGCAGAATATATGGTGACATTAGGTATGACAGCTGGTGACATATCATACCATAAACATATCATCGAGTGCTGGTGACTTTTATTATGGACTGTATCTGACACGGTTGTCACTTCAAGCACCAACCTTTCAACAAGGTCTGTACGCGGTATGGAGTGCAGGTGATTTGGTATTATCAGCTGGTGACATACGATACGGTAGTCAGTTGGTCTGATAGTTGGGGGACAGATTACACTGTGGCATTAGTTGGTGGTGACATCAGTCAGTATGATACTCACCATGGCTGGGGTCACCATTTATGAAAGTTCTATCACACAGACATTTTCTCCTAAGCAGAAGAGAGCTAACAACAAACTATGTAGCGTTTCAAAGCATTTTTCTGCTGGCAGGAAAGCAGAGCCTAAAAAGTCCTACTTAAAGCACATTTTCAGCTGGTGTTTAAGAGCTGAAGTGATGACATTTTAGTATTTATTCATTGCTTCCTTTTCCCATGGCCTATATCCACAAATAAGTATTTGTCTCTAAATGTGTTTGTAGCCTGTGAGCAAATAAATCAGGTAGAAATCCCTTTTCTTCTTCTAAGGGGTGAAATTGCTGCAGTGTAACTAAAAACAATCTCTACCCAAAATGACATTTCTGCTTTGCAGAGCTGCTGACAAGTAAAGTTTTGTTTTGGGCACATTTTTAATCATACAGAGAAAGTACAACTCTAGTCAAAACCTTAAGTTTGATTTTTGGCTAGATTGGGGAATGGTTAAAACCAACATCTACTACATTTTTTAGAAGAGTGGGTGCGAATTAGAACTTCTGACAATGTTAATGGTCTGTCATGGTGACAACCACAAACCCCGACATTTCTCATTTTGATGTCTCTTGGCCCAATCAGTGGCAGCAGTTGTTGTTAGGGCATTACCTGCCCCATTCTGACGGGGTGGGGAAAGTGCATGCTACCACTGATTGGGCCAGGAAGGGGTTGCATCAGTAGGCTTGAGCGAGCTGGGCTCACACCAAGCCCATCACTACTTACAAGTATGGAGGAACACATAACAGCACTGGTGCTTGACCCAGTGCTGTAACTAGTGATGGGCTCGGGCGTGTTCGCAAGCGCCTCGTGCCGAGCCCGCCGGGAAGCTGTCAGCACGCAGGGCCAATCACAGGCACTGAGACATTTCCCGATCTCTGCAGCTGCGGACCGGGAACATGTCTCAGTGCCTGTGATTGGCCCTGCGTGCTGACAGCTTCCCGGCGGGCTCGGCACGAGGCGCTTGCGAACACGCCCGAGCCCATCACTACTAGTGATGTGTGTGGGCTTCGTGTGTGCCAGGCTTGTGCAAAACTGTCTGTGACCACCCCCCCTCCCCCGCATCCTGACACAATCAGTTGTGGCCAGGGCAATCAATGTCCCTTTGTTCCATGTAGCTGTGAGGAGGGCAAAGTTCTTGCCATAACTGATTTGGCTGAGTGCTTGTTCACACCATAAACAGTGCGTTTCAGATCGGTCAGCTGCTGGAACGCACGGTATCACACCCAGACAGGCTTCCTGCGTTAAGGGGCATGGCAGTGCATTGTAGTCAATGGCACCGCAGCCACACCCGCAGTGCGATCGCCCACACCAGAATGTGTGGCATATCAGTGCCTGCGTTCCGGTCCAATGCGATCTGCAAAAATGTTGCAAGCACTATTTTTTTAGATCGCACTGGACCGGGTGCGGGAAACAAGCCCTGAGAGGGGATGTGTCACAGACAGCTATGTACAAGCTTGGCGATCTCAGTTCATACCAAGCTCATGCAGATCTCTAGTTGTCTCTAGGGGCAAGAATACAATGCTTTAGCTCTGTATAACCTCTGACAAAAGCAACTCATAGCTTAAACTGGCCATACATCTTAAGATCTTTCACATTCCACTCCACAGGCAGAATGAGAGAAATCACTTGATTCCTCCATCCACGCTACGGAGCATGGATGGTGGAATCTCCCGCCAGATATTGTATTGACTGGCTTTAGTCACTGTTTGGGCGAAAATTTTCCACCCAGCTCTTTCAACAAAAGTTGATTGAAAAAGAATTTCGAACAATTCCAGTGAGAAACTTTACACAGAACATCCCTTCCTAAATGGAGGGGTGGTAGAGAAAGGTAGTATATGCTGCTACAGAGGGGGCATTAAAAGAGAACTATAGGATAAGTATTTTTCCCCATAGTTCTCTTTA